ATGTTACAGAGCAAGTTAAGGGGCAGTTACACTGCACTTTTCATTCCATTGACTTCCATTTATATGCATGCGAATGCGTCAGACCGAAAATGCAAGCTCATGCGAATAATTTCGCTGCGTTCCAAAGTTCAAGCTCGGTGAACTCTGACCTGCGAATTCGCATCACGTGAAGACGTGTGACCAGTAGAAGATCGATAAGTCACTGCGTGACCTCTCTGTACAGAAATTCAAAAATGGAGGAAGCGCTAATTTTAGCCATATTTTATATAATCCTATTTTATATAATCAAAATAGCGTCCTATTTTATATAATCAATTTTTTTTTAAATGTATAAAAATCAAATAAAAAAATAAGCTGCATGGTTTGCGGTGTCAATGGAAACAGGAACAGACGGTACATTTGAATGCGAACACATTTGATAATTTTTTATTGCTTAGTGTATATATATATATATATATATATATATATATATATACAGTATATATATATAGAGAGAGAGAGAGAGAGAGAGTACAATATAATTACTATACACAAGTGTATTATTATTAAATTACTTAATGTTGTTCGTTATTTTATAATTCATTCACTCATTTTTAAATTAATTTTGCACACCACAGGAACTTATAAAATTACCTATATAAAGGGAAAAACCTACATCACTTAAAGCACAGTACTTAAAAATGTAATATATTTATAGTATATATATATATACTATAAATTTTGTATGAATATTATACCAGCAGTCTATTGATAACAGCAAAAAGCTCACGTGGTGGGTTATTAGCAATCATATAGAACAAGTAAAGGGGCAGTCACACTAGACTTCGAACGTGTAACATTTTTTCAGACGCCGCTGCGAATATGGGAGGGATCCTATTACCTGTGGGGCCCCACAAGGGTCCATTTTGGGTCTAGTCCTTTTTTCTTTGTACATGCTCCCGTTGGGAATGATCTTTAAGAAGTATGGTATTTGCGGATGACACAAGTCTGTATGCTGTATGTACAGTCAAACCAAAATTTATTCAGACACCTTGAACATTTCATTAATTAATACAGTTTATTCGCTATAGTTTAAAAAAATGGTAATAAAATATGACAGAGCCGAAAGTAATCCCTGTGGCGATCCTCATCCAGCCGAAGCTCCTGAATTAAGGAATGGAACTCTCCCCGCTCATTCCGAGTCCGTAGAATAGGTTGAACCCACAGCCTTCTCCTTTTCAGAAGCTTTCGACGCCGTCGCAAAACAGTACAAGCACATCGGAATCCATGTTGTGACAACTGAAGGGAAACCTTGGCGTGTGATGTCATATCCTGCTCCCGCCCATATTCGCAGCGGCGTCTGAAAAAATGTTGCACGTTCAAAGTCTAGTGTGACTGCCCCTTTACTTGTTCTATATGATTGCTAATAACCCACCACGTGAGCTTTTTGCTGTTATTAATAGACTGCTGTGTCCGCGTATATAAATCCTGGCTTTACCTCATCTTAGACGAAGTGCGATTTGTTTTTGAAGTATGTTGTTGAGAAAATAAATGGAATCTGAGCAAATTTTGTATCTATGACTGCTAACCCGTTGTCAACAGATATAACTGGAATGTATTCTTTAAGTAAGTTTGAACTTTGAACTCACTCTCTAACATTAGAGATGCCGTGCTCCACTTAAAGCGATCATTCTGCCCCAGTGATGCAGTTTAGCTTTGCATTCTTAAGGAAGGTGTCGATATTGTCAGTCCAAGTATTTTATCTATTATTAATAGTAGTAGCCAGAATGGCACTGTACCTCTTTGCCTTAAACAAGCTATTGTTGAACCCTGAGATGCCGGTAATCATGCAGCATTCATTTTATTGGATCTCTCAGCAGCCTTTGACACCACTGATCACCGGATTCTTCTGTCTCATTTAAAACAACTTGTTGGCATTCAGGGGACTGTTTTAAAATTATTTGCCTCTTATTTGAATTGTAGATCCTTTTCAGTGAAGATTGGTAACTATTTTTCTGCTTCAGCACCTACTACCTGTGGGGCCCCACAAGGGTCCATTTTGGGTCTAGTCCTTTTTTCTTTGTACATGCTCCCGTTGGGAATGATCTTTAAGAAGTATGGTATTTGCGGATGACACAAGTCCCCAGCCAACATTTGTGTGTGGGGCCCATGTGGGTTTGACATGGGCTGAAAAAGTGGGCCCAAAATGGGATTGTCCGCGGGTTCCATAATGGCCCAATGTCAATTGCCCACATGGATTTCATGTGGGATTGTACTTGACAACAGGTGGGCCCCAACTGGGCAACATGCGCAAGACCCATCTTGGCCCCAGCTTTATTTTTTATGTGGGTACTACAAGGTTACTACATGGGCTGAAATATGGGTTGTAAGTGGGTTTGTCCACGGGTTCCATGTTGGCCCCTAGACCCAGTAGTAAGGATACTAATGCTACAGTCCTCAAGTGTTTCGAGGAAGTAAAGCTGTGGATGGCTGAAAACCTTGTTCAATTGAATGAAAACAAAACAGAAATTATTGTCTTTGGTCGCACAGTTTGTAGCCAGATAGTAAATGACAACTTAGGCCCATGGAAGGGGTACATGCAGGATCAAGTAAAGAATTTGGGAGTCATTTTTTATTATTTTTTTTAATTTGATCGACAGATGAAGATGGTGGTTCATAATTGTTTCTTCTATTTAACCCTTGTGTGGTGTTCATATTTTTGTTACTCAGCCAGTGTCCGTGGGTCTGGTGGACCCGCTGCAGTTTTGGGTTTTTAATTCAACACAATCAAAAATGATATGTTAAAATACTCAACAGATGTTTACTTCATCCCAATTACAAGCAATATAAACAGCATATATGGTAAAAATTTGCCCTTTACCTTTGTTAGATCACATTTATGAATTACAGTGCTACAACCTTGTGCGGGAATGACAGGGGCAGAAACACAAAAATCACAGTTACACTCACACTCTTACAGACGTATTATAGTGCTCTTTACGTAGGTTCTTGCCAAACATGTGTTGCTCGCTTGCAGCTAGTACAAAATACTGCTGCAAGGATGTTAATGAATGCTAGAAAAGCTGATCATGTTACTCCCTCGTTAGCTTCTTTAGGATGGCTACCAGTACAATTTAGAATGCATTATACTATTTTGATATATGTTTTTAAAGCACTAAATGGAATGGCGCCAGAATAGCTGAGCTACAGTCCAAGCGGAATACTAAGATCATCGAACAAGTTTCCTCTAACAATGCCCCGAGCGTGATCATGCTTTCTCTATCGCTGGCCCAAGGCTGTGGGACTATCTTGGAACTTCAATAAATTCTTAGTGGATGAGTAATTGTATAAAAACTGTTTTATCTGAGAAGTAAAATGTAATGTAAAACTGAACACACATCACAGCAACGCAGTGGGGCGCTATGCTTAGGCAAGGTATATCATGTGGAAGGATAAAATGAGTAATGGTTTTAAAAATAAAAAAACAGGAAAGCTTTTTCTTTATAGTTGAACTTCAATGACGTGTTTTGCTAGTTATGTGTTTATAGTTAAATTGACATTTGAATAAAATGTATGCATTGAAATTAATGTGTTTGACATAAACAAATGAAGAATGTGACGCTGGCTACGGCTTGCAATCTAAGCCCAGATAAGGCTCCTGATACTCCTAAAGACTCCTAAAATGTCAAAAAAAATATCGGAAAGGTCCCTGTAAATGTTAAAATAAATCTAAAAATAAATGTTGTATGAACTGATCAAATCTGCCTTGAACGTAACATAGGCTTTGGGAGAAAGCTTCTTCCAAACGAATAATAATCTAAATTGAAATGTTGTCTATGCGAGAGATATAAACAGCAGGACTAAAAACAATATTTGTTTAAAAAACACTTGTATCTTATTGTGGCAGAAAGTACAAACCCGATTCCAAAAAAGTTGGGGCACTGTACAAATTGTTAATTATGCGAATTGTAGCTAAATTTTTGCAAAGTATGAAATAATGTTTAATGGGTGATATTTAACTATTTAAAATTCATAATATTATGTGGAATGTTTGTTATGTAGTTGAATATGAAAACACTTGGTTATGTGTGTATACAGAATACATAAGGTTCGTACATTTACATACACCTTTAATTTTGACAAAACAAGTGGCATCATATTGTGACTATGATTTAGAGATTCATTTTATTTTACACTGATGGCACTTGAGGGGCTCAAACTATTACAAAATATGAAAACATTCACTGCACTTCATTGTGTTTTGTTTTAGGGTTGAAGTGAATGTCCATAACATTAATGGATTTTTTTTACATTGCATGTTTAACAAAAAATAAATTAACTACAATTTACTTTGATCATCCATTTCAAAAAGGCTCTTATTGCATTATGTTTATTTTATGTGCATCAGATTCAGTGCATGTCTTCACCTTCCATAAGGATGACTGAATGACTCATACAACATGAGTCATTCAGTCATCCTCAGTGTGAAAAGATGGATCTGAAAATCAATCAGTAAGTGCTGGAATGGGTTTAAATATGCAGAAGATGCTGGACATTGGGTTTAAGTGCACATGATGAAAAAGTATCACAAAACAAGAGCATTAGACTTTTAGCTTTCATGGATCATCCAGGCAATGACACAGTATTATGAGAGAACATTTTTTGTAAATTAGGTTTTTGTCTAGGGGAGTATGTAAACATATGTTGCTTAAAATATCTGATTCAGGGCAGTACTAAATAAAAACAAGAAATGTTTATGATTCCACTAATTTGGTTAAAATTGTTAACATTGTACGTTAGAATGTGACTTGTATAATGTATATTAAGTTGTATGAGTTCATCTATGATATTCATGTATGTTTGAATGTGTAGATGATGTTCTTCTGCCTTTTGTTTGCATTGTTATTAATCCAGACATATTTCTCTAACCACAATCTTTATTTTCTGTTTTAAAAAATCACAGAACTTTCCTGCTGTATCATTTTGTTTTGTTCATAATTAACTGTTCATTTCTTCTCCAGGTGCATCTGGTGTTTGTTTAAATGAAGTGTTTGTGATAGATGGAAATTCAGTCACACTAAACACTGGTGTTACAACAAACCAACAACAAAAGATGAAATGGTACTTTAAAGCCATTTGCATAGCTCAAATCAATGGAGATAAGAGTATGATTTGTAAAGATGATCAGTGTAATAACAGTACTGAGATATTCAGAGACAGACTAGGTGTGGACTGTCAGACTGGATCTTTAACCATCACAAACACCAGAACCACAGACTCTGGACTTTATCATCTACATATCATCAGCAGCAACAGTGACAGAGAAAAGACCTTCATTGTTGCCGTTCATGGTGAGTCATTATGTTTAAAAGCAAGTCTTGAACATTTAAATCAAATCATTAATTTGCTTATTGATATTTTTACAGTGATATTCAGATGTGTTTTACCTGTATACAAATTCATGTGCATTATGTATGTCTTCACACATTGAACTACAATTATAAAACAGATAGTTCCAGTCCTTGATTATGACTGGCTGAGCCCAATTGGAGCTGTTGTAAAATACAAATTTTATGAAACCTTGCCAGGTATATTTAGTAACTTTTATCAAATCATAAAGCCCTGTGAAGTTTTCTCATCTACATTCAGAGTTTGGCAATTGACATCTCAAACAAGCCTAATAGTATTCCCCTTAATGCAAGGGTTTTGAAGATCACCCATGAGACTCATATCTGTTTGTCTGATGAGTGAATGTGTAAATCAATGCTGTTCTTCTGCTCCTTGTTTGCATGTGTTACATTATGAATCCCAATATATTTCTCTACCTACAATCACAAAAGAAGAAAAAAATACACCTTCCTGTTGTATAATTATATATTTGGTTATATTTAACTGTTCATTTCTTCTTCAGGTGTGTCTGGTGCTGATACAAACGTGTCAGTGATGGAGGAAGATTCAGTCATTCTCTACACTGATGTTAAAACAGAGCAGCAAGACAGAATAAGATGGTACTTCAATGACATTCGCATTGCTCAAATCAATAGAGATCTCAGTAAGATCTGTACAGATGTCCAGTGTAATGAAGGTACTGAGCGATTCAGAGACAGACTGAAGCTGGATCATCAGACTGGATCTCTGACCATCATGAACATCACAAACACAGACACTGGACATTATGAACTACAGATGAGCAATGGAGACAGTGAGAGTGAAAATACCTTCACTGTTGCTTTATATGGTGAGTCAGTATGTTTAGAAGCAAACCTTTTCCTTTTAAATCAGATTGTTAAAAGTGTTTAGTGATATTTTTGTTGTGACATTAAGAGGTGTTTTTGCTGTTAAAGTGGAATTTGTTGTTTCAAATATAAATTACTGTGTGCATGTTGCTAACATATTTCATTATGTCATTTAAATAATAATGTTATTGTATAGTACTTTTACTGTACATCCAATATGACATGCCTGAGAAAACATCCCTTGTAATACATGTTACATTGACATCATCTTGCTTGTTCTGAATCAGATCTGAAGTAATTACGCTTTACATTGGATACTTTTTTACTCTTATTCAAGTAAGTACCCTTTCGTTTATGTTTCAGGTATTTCTGCTGCTGATCAAGATAAATTGAAGAGAAAGTCAGTTAAAGAGGGAGAATCTGTCACTGTAGATCCTGGTGAAATAAGAAAATCAAATAATTCAATGACATGGTATTTTAATGACATTCTCATCGCTGAAATCACTGGAGATCAGACTAAGATCTGTACAGATGATCAGTGTAAAGAGCGATTCAGAGACAGACTGAAGCTGGATCATCAGACTGGATCTCTGACCATCACAAACACCAGAACCACAGACTCTGGACTTTATAAACTAGAGATCAACAGCAGCAGATTCAACATCATTAGGAGCTTCAGTGTTACTGTGACTGGTGAGTATAATTTAGTCGTTCAGTGCATTTTTCCCTCAAGCAATTTTAAAACAGAGTTTACTATATTCAAATTGTTTTCATTATGGCCTGTTTGAAAAAGTGGACTTTGCTCATATGAAAATATAATTGAGGTAATATGTCACCTTCACATGAACATCAAAGTGACAGACAATTCACGTCACATTGAGTTTATTGTCACATTATGAATTTTACAGTTTTGAAGTCTATGATATAAGAATAAGAAAATTGCATAATACCAGCCATTTTTTTTTTTCTGTGATCATTGTTTTCTGTTAATGTCACAGTGCTGTGCTGCTGTTTTAACTGCTGTCCCTCAAAACCCCACCAGATTTATCAAATAAACCAGCTATTTATCAAATCAGTTGTTGATTATCAGTCGACCTCTAGTAATAATGACTGTCTATCTTTAACTGTTCCAGATTCAGGTCAGTCTACATCACTAGTACGTGCTGGTGCTGGTGGTGTTGCTGTTGTTCTGCTGGTTGCAGCTGCTGGTGTGATTTACTGTTGCTGCAGGAGATACACACATGCAAGAAAAAATGGCAAGTATTAGGCTACATACAGCTGATTGTACAAAATGTAAATATTGTTTAAAAATATTATTTAAAATATGTAAAAGTATGTATTTTTATTCTGATTGACCAAAGTAAGAATCTGTTGTTATTGTTCAAACAGATACCTGGAAGCAGCATAATGATTATCAGGTAAGATAATGTGACCTCTGAATCTGTCTGCAAAAATATTATAAATTGGCAACAGATTAAGATCTGTGAGAACTCCTAAGGCCCTAATGACATAATTTCAAACAAAATCAGGCCAAAAAGAAGTTGGTGTAGAGGGTTCAAAACAGCTCATCAAAGCAAACTTTCCAGCTCTGGCTGGTAAACACCATTGGTCCATGGTGATTAGGTAATAGGTAGGTGTGTCTATGAGGCTCCGTCTTCATTGAAGTGGAAATCTCCACCAAGTTATTTATTCTGTTCAGTTCGTCGAGATTAGATGTCCGTGAATAAAAATTTGAACACACTGGAGACCGGCTTTTGCTGTTAATGTATTTCAAACTTCTCTTTGCCTCTAAGCAAAGAACAAAATAAAACTTTGCTGTGAGTATGAGGGCCTTAGGTGGTGTATGTCTGTGTGTGGCTTTATTCAGAACTCATCACATAGAAACACAAATAATAATTGATTATAAAAGAGATCACTGCTCTTGTGCTGTTTCACATTTAGCAAACATCAAAAGGAGAAACATATTTTTGCGTTTCTGTAATCATCAATCCTGATTTGTTTTAACTTGTGTAAATCTGATGTTTTTTTTCAGGAAAATGATGTCCTAGAAAGAGTGTCCCATGATCAGACTGAGACTCCACAGTTGGATATTGTTAATATGTCTCTTAATCTGATTGACCTCAATTGATGGCCAATTGGACACCACAGTAACATTATTTATTATTATATTACAGTATTTAATTGTTTCACAGAAATGGACAGTCACAAGAAGATGGCAAATCAGCTGAAATTCTCATCACTCACAAAGAAATCTAAAGAAGTCTAAACTATATAAACTATATAAACCAGTAACTATACGTTTCTTGTGAGCTTCTAACCGAATCTTACTTTTTAAAAAAACACTATGCTTTCACTTTATGCTCTCATTATCCCTTAATATCCTCTTGTCCTAGCTTTTATTTTGAATGATGACTGAAACCTCGTATACACTTCTTTTTTTTTGTTGCCATTTTATTATAAATTGCTTGTTGTATTCTGCAACTGTAAGTCACTTTGGATAAAACCATCTGCCAAAAGAATAAATGTAAATGTAGTACAAACCACTTTTAAACAAAGCAACCAATTAATAGCAGTAAAAGAGTGCTTGAGGTTTCCCCAGTTTGTAACAAGTAATGTCATACTGAAAAAATGTAAGCGAGTTAAGCAAATGAGAATTTGTGCCTTTGCACAAAATGAGAATTTGAAGGCAACTGTCAGTGCATCTTTACAATTTTAGCATTTACATCTTGACGACACTTTGCACCTCATTCAACCAGTTTGGTAACCTTCATTGGTGATTTTGGTTTTGGGTTTAGTTTTTTTGGGTTTCTTTGGTCTGATGTGGTTAACGAAAGGTTAAAGGTTCAAATCCTGCAAGGGTTGATCCATGAAATATCACCATTGTGTTCTTGATCAAACTCTGAATCTCAGGAACTTAACCTGTAATAACTGCACTAAAAACAGAGTTTCAATGTTCAGAGAGGCAGCAACAATGTCAAATATGTATTTATATAGTGTGTTGTTGTATTTAACATTCCATTCCTGCTGCCATCTGAATCATGTTTTAACCTTTTTATAAATGTGTTTAGTGATAAAACATTGGTTATTTATTATAGATTTCAGATGTTTGCTACTTCCACTTAAAGTCTTAATAGTTGAAATGTGCAAATGTGAATGTTCTTCTTTGTACTTTATTGTAATAAATGTGACATTTTGTCTTCTGTGATGGATTTGAGATGCTGATTATTCTTTCTACAGTCAAGGTCTTGCATTTTATACAAGGAGTAAGATTTAAGACCTGTGGGGTGTTCAAGATTAATGTTTTCCACTTTACACTATCGGTCTATTGCAGATGTTTTGTCCATGTCTGTGTCTTTCAGTTACCTTCATGAAACATGTTTAGATGTGTTGTATTTGTGTTTTGTGTATCTTGTAGTTTCATAATTATTGTGTTTTACTGCTGTTTGTATTGTAGTACTTACACTGCTGTTACATGTGGTTTATCAGATCTGTCCTCAGATTTACTCATTTACAGAGCGTATCATTATATTTTTTTCCTTGTCTTTTAAATCTGCACCTGTATTGTTGTCTTAGGATGAAAATAAACCATTTAAAAAAAGTATTTGTTCAGTGATCATTGTGTGTCTGTACATTCTGGAATGTCATTTCTAACTACACATTGAGGCATTGACTGTTACAATAGCAATATCATGTTCAGTGGCAAATATCTTAAAAGTTTTATTTAATTTTTTTTTCATTGGAAAAATGTCATATGTGACACTAGGCTTGTTTGAAATGAGCAAAATCTGCACCAACCGGTGATCACCGCAAGATGAATGCCAGTAAGAAATAAGCTTGTTCGAGATGCATATTGCTGTGCAAGCCAATCTGCATATGACATCAAAGTACCGCGAGAGCGGTTGAAAAGCAGACGACACGTTATGCCCTAGAAAATAGGCTTGTTTGAGATGCACCTCGCCTCGCCTGAAATGTAGGCGAGAGTAGGCGGCTGCAGTGAGGGGAGGAGTGAAATAAGCGCAGGCAAGACGGACAGTTCTGACCTCTAGAAGTGAACAGATACCAACGAGATGAAAGGCAGATGTCGCGTTATTCTCACTGTGCGTTCACACCGCCGGCGGCGAGAGCGTCAAAAGATCGCTCTGGCCGCGCTACCCACAACGCTGACCACCGGCGGCGAGAGCGTCAAAATTCGCTCTGGCTGCCCTGTAGACGCTCCACGATCGGTCTTTATTTAAAGGGGCCGCAAACATACCAAACAAGCGTTCTGATCTTGTGCAGACTTACCACAAAAAGGGTATAACCTTATGATATATCTTAAATGTGAAAGTAATAAACATGATATACTTTCAGTTCTGTTGCTTTTATATGAAAGTAAATATTATGAACAAGACACTCAAAGTGCTTGCTGTTTAATTCCATACAAAATGTGTATTTATCATCCATTTTTACTTAGAAATATGACAACAATCACATATCTCACACAGAGATCGCAGACGCACTGTCATAGTGTTTGGGAACATTCATGCATAATTTAAATACATGATCACATGAAATCAGATAAAAAATATATATATATTTTAGAAGAGAACCGCAGCATCACAGGTGTCTGAACCAATGAGCATTAAGCTGTGTCGTCAGTCAGTCGTTTCCCATCATGCACTTGATCAGCGCAGTCGGTGGAGAGCAACCGCGCTCGACTGCACAATCCGACACAGCCGCCTCGCCGTCGCGAGAGTTGTTTTTGCACACGTCAGCATGACATCAGAGCAAGTCGGACGTAAGTCGGACACTTTTCTAACCGGCATGCATCTCGCGGTGACCACCGGTGATCGGTTCTGCGCAGATTTTGCTAATCTCAAACAAGCCTACTATCTCACAGTACTTTGATGTCATACGACAATATGTCTGCACAGCGCTGATGCATCTCTCTCACTTGACTGTGCAGTCCAGCGCAGTTGCTCTCCTCCGACTGTGGGCTCCAAGGCTGCGTCCCCCCCCCCACCCCCACACACACACACACACACACTTGCCAGTTTAAACATTCAAGTGATTATAATGCATTCAAGTGCAACATCAAAAACGCGAAATAACTTAATTCAGTACTAGCATGCGGTGTTCTGTGCGCATTAGAGCCGCGTCTCACAGCCCATGGCCACAGAATGGAGTTCTCTTATTGTGGTTGAATGGTCAAATACATAAGTCAAACTATCCATTTTGGTGAGTATCCTCAAACTTTGGTTATGACATAAGTGAACATAAACAGTTGATGATGTCTTTATATTGTATACATGTATTGTGTTTTAAAGTAACTGCCTAATTTACTAGATGCTGAGTTGCTGTCAGTGTTAATCCAAGGGAAAAAAGGAGAGAGAGAAAAAAAAATCACTCACAGCTCTTTAATAACTTTTAGGAACTATACTCTCATTCCGGCGTAATAATCAAGGAACTTTGCTATCGTTCTATGGTTGCATGATATTACGCAGCGCCTGAAAATAGTCCCAGCTAGGTAGCATCCAATAAGCCTACTTTCAGGCGCTGCGTAATATCATTGCGCCTGCTGCAACCATAGTACGGCAGCAAAGTTCCTTGATTATTACGGATATTACGGAAAATAAAAAGCTGCGATTTTCTAGGTCAATATGGCTAGGAACTACTCTCATTCCGGCGTAATAATCAAGGAACTTTGATGCAAATAGTCCCCAGCTAGGTGACTTCCAATAAGCCTATTTTCAGGCGCTGCGTAATATCATTGCACCTGCTGTATCCATGGTACGGCAGCAAAGTTCCTTGATTACAAAAGGTGACTGTTAGTCTGGTTCAGTTAGCCAGTCATCGAAACGTGCAATTTTATGTCTCAGGGGTTGACAGCTTTTTGTTATATTAAGGTCACATTAAACTAGGCTTAAAACATTTTTTTATTTTATTTTATTATTTTATCGTGCCTTTTATTTGCACTACTTTTCAAATGCCTTTTATTTATATATTTTGTTCTGTTTTATTCTTGTCTTAGAAATGTTAGTATTACTTGTATACTATTATAGTATTTATTAATATTTATTTTTTAAACTTCAGCTTAAGTTTAGTTTAACTTTTAAGGAATTTTGTTATTGTGATTTTTTTTTCTTTTTTTAGATATTTCTATATAGAGTAGATTTAGTTTTTATTTCAGTTTTAAATGTAGTAATTTTAATACTTAAAAATAAATGAAATAAGTTGTTTAAAACTTTTGCCTAATATTTATATTTAATTTTATTTCAACTTAATTTGAATGACTAAAAATGATCCATAATATTTTTTAGTTTTACTAAATGAAAATCTATCATAAAAATATTAATTATTACATGTATAAAACTACACAGAGTAAAATAATCAGAAACCATTTCAATATTGATTGTGTGAAAATAATTTATATCAGTTGTTCAAAAACTATGACTGTCTTACAGTTGTGTCATTTCCACCACACTGAACAATTTGCATTAATAAGGGTAGTATACTTGAAGACAGCAAGAAAACAACAGTATCCATGAAGAGACTTGAGATGTGATACTTGAAGAAAACCATGAAATTTTGTCATATCATGCATAAAGTGCTAATATCTTGCTAACTGTTGGTCTATTTGGCATACATAAAAGGCTAATATAAAATTAGCCTTAGCAAGACAACGATGTAAGCCATTTTAGTCCAAATAATCTTACAATTTCACAATTCCATAGCTGAAGAAACACTCGGTACCATCTAGCTGCACAAAGCTTCTTTATCCACTGACGTTCAGTGTGGAAGCTAAATGCAGAGCTAGCACGTTGCTATTAGTCATCTGAGGTGAAAGAGAGGAGAAAATAAGAGCGGTTTCCCCTCGTCTTTCTCTTTCACATGATTAATGTGCTATAGGAGTATGTAATTTGGCTTCAATAAATCACATAGTGGATCGGTGGAAATAATTTTGGTGTTGAAAAGCGAATAACATTGCGTCTGTATTTGTGTGTAACGTTTCTCTGCTAGAGGCAACTCTCAAGACATTGTTTTGGAAATACTGACTGTCTGTTGTTCTTTTAGGTCGAGGTGTCTCTCCCACTGGGTTGAGATTTGACAAATCACATGGAGGAAATACCCTGATCTTCTCGGTGCCGG